GGACAAAGGTTTAGTTTGCTGCCCTGGTGCTTTAATTGGGGTTCGGAAGTTTACTTTATATTGTCACAACGGATATTAATTTCTTGTTTGATACTCGTGTCGAGTAAGAGGTTCTAAATTATGAAGCTGTTCTTGACTATTATTAGGTCTTTCAATACCTACAATACAATTTGCAATCGAAAGTGCGTTAAGTCTGTTAATGTTCGGACTTTAAATTTGTTCATTTATTATGTAGTTAGGAGAAATTACTTTCATGACTTCTTAGTAGCCAAACATAAGAAAAATTCAGAAGAGAGATCCAGAAAGAGGGCGAATTGGACCACCAAACTTATGAGTGTTACCCATGCATTTTTAAGAGTAAACGTTACACCAATGTAGTGGATAACTTTTGATTTACAATTCTCTTGATGATAAAAATCAACTTAAGCTTCATCAGTTCCATATTCATTATTCATGCATTCTATCCAGGGATGTTCTATCATGCGTTCATCATACCATGGAAATATGAGTTCTAAGTACAACAATCCTACAAAGTATCGGCCCAATTGAAAAATTTACATCTTGCTTGGAACGTTCTGTACCTACGTAAATCAACAGGTAAACATTAAACATATCAATTAACAGAACGTTACATAATTCACATAGCAACTTCTATTGTTCAATGAAACATGAAACCTACAGAAATCTGGTAATTCATTAGGACAGTTAAATTGTTTCACACATCTTCTGTGGTAAATAACATCCAATTACTTTGCATATGTTCAAATATCTATCCCTTGTACGTCTTCTACGTTTCTATTGTTTTGAGGAATGTGTAAGTTGAATATCACGTTCGAGTGGCTTGTACGAACACAGTTGAGCAGTGTATTGAAGCACGAAATAAACATAGTTTCCCACTCAGATTCAACCCGTAACACGTTTATCAACTTGTTAATCAAGATAAAAATCGATGCGAGGCATTTACCGGTATTGCTGAACAAGTTGCGAAAGTGTAAAAAAATTGGCGAATGCTATCAATAGTATTTCTCATCTATATAAGGAGCTCATCTAGTCTTAAAAAGTGCGTCATTTTAATTATCTTTGTATCTTTAATATGCTTAGGTGCACTGACGTTCACGTTCGATTTAAGTAAAGCACCAGGTGTAGTTTGGCAAGTGATTTTAGTTGGTATTATCTTTTACCATGAGAACTTTCCGACCACAAATACAGTGTTTTTTCATTGACACAAAGTTTTCTCAGGTCCCTATAATGATCAAAATATTCGATTGAAAATCATTTTCAAAGAAGTGACAATGTGGGGTCCTAATACCTAGATATCCAGAGTGTTAGATTGATATTCCTATTGTCATAAAGGGACTTTGCTTGAAAGAAAACATATTGTGTCAATCGAAAACGACTATACTTATGGCCAGAAGCGTTCATGATGAAATATATGACTGTCCAAAAGTATTTGCCCTGCACCTGGTGCATTTGACAACATCTGGCTTGCGTTATTTTATTCTTGTTTTACTTTTACCTATGCTATTTTGTTTCGTTAGTGATAATCAATGGAAACCAATGGCCTCTATTGGGATCTGCTGATATCCTCATGTTAAGTCAATGATGCACAGCCCCATGTAAGTGAATACAACCTTACTGAACTATCTCCCCTATCTCAGCCTATGTGTGCCCGGGCAATTTTATATTTCCAAAGAGTTATATGACATCCTATTCTTCATGTTGCACCTAAGAATTATTCATTTTGACCATAAGGGTATTTGCGAATAAACGCACCACTTCCTTTACGATAATTGACACAGCAAAAAATGTGTATCAAACCCTTGGAACCTGCTTATAGGTTTCATACAGGTTTCATACGACACGTATCAAACCTGCAAATATCCTGTATACAAGTTTCATACAGGTTTAATACGGCGTATCAAACCTGTATAAATTCTTGATACAGGTTTCGTACAGGTTTCAAACGGTGTATCAAACCTTTATATATCTTAGATGCAGGTTTCATACAGGTTTCACTCGTATGTACCAAACCTGTATATATCCTGGATGCAGGTTTCATACAGGTTTCACTCGTATGTACCAAACCTGTATATATCCTGGGTGCAGGATTCATACAGGTTTCACTCGTATGTACCAAACCTGTATATATCCTGGATGCAGGTTTTATACAGGTTTCACTCATAATTACCAAACTTGTATATATAATCCTTGATGCAGGTTTCGCATGTACGATCCTAGAAATATGGTGCCCGGCGGATCAGGTCTGCACGAAGTTTCAAAATGACCAACTCGAAATGTGAATATTGCTCCTCGGTCTATTGCTTACGCACCAACTTGTCACACATCAATGTAATTATTATTACTCCATGATGATATTTCCACCTTAGAATTTGCTCTTTATTGCCATCAATAGGTGTTGCCAAGGTATCTTAGTACCAGTTTTTATTTACCAACTTTCGAAATGGGTTCAAAATGGGTTCAAAAATAGAATTATGTATGAAAATGTTCACACTTTAAGTCGGTCATTTGGGGTCATTTTAGTCAGAAATATAGAAAAATAAAAAAGTTACAGCATTTTTATCAGTGTATAAGGTTTTAGCATTAAAATTGACATGCTTGAAAGTATTTATCATCTATACTATATTATTTCAAGTATACGTTTTAGAGGAGATGATAGGGTTGAGGATAGAAGGTGTTTTCCCTGTAACAAGAATCAGGTTGAAACAGAAGCTCATTTTCTAGTTTACTGTGATGTGCATAAGTATCTTCTATACAAATAATTTGATAAATTGGGGACAACAGCAAACTGATCGGTTGTGGATTTAAAAATGAGACATGTAAAAGACATGACTTAATTTATCTATAGGAGGAGGCAGCAAGCTTATGATTCATAGAGACCGAATCTGTAATTTTGAAACCAAATATATTTCAAAACATGATCCATCAAATATTCCCCATACCCTCACCATTCTAGAACCAATTTCACACTTCGAGACACCAAGAGACATTTCATTCATACTGAAGTCATTGCAAAACATGTTGAACCATAACCATGAATTAAAAACTCAAAAACATCAAAAAGGCATCTAGACTTATACAAGATAAAGCATAATCCAGTCTTAACTCTTAAGATCATTGATGATCCAAATGGTCAACTTATTTAATTAGTATTTAATTAGAAAAGCAACAATTATACTGTTATTTAATAATATATTTATTTATCACAATCATGGACTGACACTACACATAATTTTTGTTAAAGGATTTACTTGCAATCTAAATCCATCTTAGTTACAGATACTGGTAAAATTAGCACTTGAGTACTTGGCTTTCATGATGGGAATTTGCTAATACTTGTAGATAGAAACTTAATTTTTAAACATATTGTATATTGTACATTTTCATTTTGATGCATAATTACAATGTACTAAATGAGATATTTAAATATATCTAATATTGTTATTCCCTTGTGATATACAATGCACATATAGATTATAAATCCAATCCAATAGTCTACTTGAGCAAGCTAGGGTCAAAAGAAACTCATTGTTTACACAATAGTTCCGATTCACCATTGGAAAGCTGAGGGTTCCAGCTTTAAGAATCTGACCTCCATCAGGATTTGTGCTTGTTGTAAAAATAAAAAGCAACTATCAAAAAAATGAAAAGAGGCTAAATCCTTAAATTGACACTCACAGCTTTCCAATGGTGTATGGAAACTCTTGTGCAAATGATGAGCTTATTTTATCACTAAGGAGAGCACTTTTCACCTCTAATTTGCTCAAGTAGTCCTACATGTGGTCAATGTAGATACAGAAATGGCTCAAAATGGTATAATATTTCAATTGATGCAATCTAAAAATGTTTAAAGCATCTAATAAGGAACAAGTTTCAAACCTTTAAAGATAAAAACCAAACCATTTACCAAAATATCAAACACAGAAACAGATTTGTTAAAGCAAAAAGATAGCTGAAAATGAATGAAAACCAGTGCTGCCATCTTTGATTCAGATTTTTCTTGGGCCAGACTTTCATTGACTTCCATATTGACTTTATTTCATGATTTATCAAAACGTGTTGGTTGAATCTGTTTAAAAACTTGATTGATATATACCCTTATAACATACTTAATGTGAATTATCACAACAAGGTTTTTAGAGAATTTAAACATTACATTCTTGTAGAAAACAGTTCACTGAATTCAAGTATGCCATTTAAAAGAAAGCAAAAGTAAGTCACTAGAGGTCTAATATGCAAATCTCTTCAAATATCACCAAAAATGAGATTTAGTGAGATTGCAAAAGCTTTATAAAAACTGAACTATTGTTGAGGATTTAAACAAGAACAAAGCTAGTCTTAATTTTCATTCAAAAATGGATGAGATGTTAAATTGCTCATTTGAAATTACAAAATTAAACAAAGGCATTGAAAGGTTGAATTGAAAACTGCAGCATTGAGCAAGAAATATGAACATCAAATTTGAAATATTAAACAAATATCCGAAGTGGAAATTCAAACAAGAAAAATCAAATATCAATCATAAAATTGAAATATTGAATAAAGATACAAAAATGCCAATATTAAATGTATTGAAATCCAAAATTAGAATTCTAATGAAAATATTCTGGTAATTCCCCTTTGATAGACTGACAGTCATAATTACAGAATTTACAGTGAAAAGTTCAAAATTCTAAAATGGTGAAAATTTGAGGCTGTGAATATAATGTTTTAGATTAATGCTCTGGGTTAAAAAATGTGATATACACAAACACTACAAAAGCAAAGCAAAAGGGAAGAGAGCTTAACATGCAAAAACTGACCAGACTTTAAGATATTTGCTTTTTCCAATTTTATGTTTGATAATTTCATATTTCTTGTTTGATATTTTAGTTGTTATTGTGTTTAAATGACCCTAATACATAACTTTTGAAAACTTTACTGTTCATTTTATTACAATTTCAATGTCCCTTTCACTTTTGAAAACTTTACTGTTCATTTTATTACAATTTCAATGTCCAACTTGGAGCATTCTCAGGAGCCTCTCTAATGGATGTCGCCTTTCCTCTTGTAGATTTCGCAAAGTTCTTTTTGGACGCTTTGCTAAGTTTGCTTCTGTATTTCTCATCAAGAGCTTGCTTCACTTTACATAGCCGATCTGACTCCCAAGTGAGTTTCTTAACTAACTTTGGGCGGCAATTTGGCTTTAAAGATGAATCCTCTTCATTTATGTCCTCCTCATCACTTGAGATGTATTCTTCTGTTAAAATAGCTCCAACACGGGCTATCTTAGTCTCCGACCATTCAGATTCCAACATTCCTAATGCATCCTTGCGACTTTTAAGCTTCTGAAAGTACAAAATAATAAAGGGTATTAATATAAAAAAAACTAGACAACACCAGGGGCTTTGGGATAGGCAAAAGGCAAAATTCCTGAAAATGTATTGTAACAATTGTTAAAACAATTAACAGTTTAACATGAACCATATTCAAAAATAAACATTTGCACTAGAAAAACAGCTTTATTTGGGGTTGTTGAGTTGGCAGAGAGAGAGAGGGCTTGGGCGCTAGCACGTTCAAACTAGGCGATTGAATGCCGTAACCACGAGGTTGTGAGTTTGAGACGTGTGTGCTCCTTGTGATTATTCATTTAAGGAATAAAGAATCGTGTATTATTCTATATTGGAAATATAAATGCATGAGTGTATGTACTAACCCATACACATAATGCACGAAGGCGAAGCCTGAGTGCGTTATCAGAATGGGTTAGTACATACACGAATGCTTCTATATTTACAATATAGAACTAGAAAAACAGCAACTCCACGGAGTAGCAAATCCCACCGAACGGCATTTGAGTTACCAAAGATTACGTTCTCTAATGAAAAATGGCAGCCATTCTGAAGATCAGCCGCCATCTTAAAAAAAAATTCTCAAACAGAGCTACTGTGTTTCTAGGGATCAGCATATAAAATTTGAACCAAATCTGTTCACTGGTATTTGAGTTATCAAAGATTACGTTTTTTACGAAAAATGGCCATTATTTTGAAATTCAGCATCCATCTTGAAAACATTTTCTCGAACAGATCTACTGTGTCCCTCGGCATCATCATATAAAATTTGAGCCAAATCCGTTCACTGGTATTTGAGTTATCAAAGATTACTTTTTTTTACGAAAAATGGCGTCCATTTTGAAATTCAGCTGCCATCTTGAAAATTCTTTCTCGAACAGATCTCCTTTGTTCCTAGGCATCATCATATAAAATTTGAGCCAAATCCGTTCACTGGTATTTGAGTTATCAAAGATTACCTTTTTTTATGAAAAATGGCCGCCATTTTGAAATTCAGCCACCATCTTGAAAATTCTTTCTTGAACAGATCTATTGTGTCCCTAGGCATCATCATATAAAATTTGAGCCAAATCTGTTCACTGGTATTTGAGTTATCAAAGATTACGTTTTTTTACGAAAAATGGCCGCCATTTTGAAAATCAGTGGCCATCTTGAAAATCTCATCTTGAGCGAAGCTCCTTTGTCCCTAGGCATAAGCATATAAAATTTGAACTAAATCCATCAACTAGTATTTGAGTTATCAAAGATTACATTTTTTACGAAAAATGGCGGCCATTTTGAATTGAGTGGCCATATTGAAAATTCCTTCTCGAGCAGAGGTCCTACACCCATAAGGTATAATCCTATAAAATTTGAATCAAATCTGTCAACTGGTATTTGAGTTATCGCCCGGACAGACGGACGAACGGACGGACGGACGGACGGACGGCTTTTCTATATCCCCCTCGAACTTCGTTCGGTGGGATAATGATACATGATTCTTTATTGCGATTCAAACATGACTCTGGTTAATGATGAAGTAAAACATTAACCATTCACATCTACAAGATTGTTGTCTTTGAAGAAATTAAATTTTGGACAAGTTCATTATTTAGAAATACTAAATAGGGGTGTTGGGTTACAATTGATATTCATTTGAAAATGATTGAGAAGGTTTTGTTTGCAAAATATTATAGGAAATGAAATAATTAATTTAATTCAGAAAAATTATGAAAACTTAGTTGGATAATCATAGCTTTGACTGAAATGAACACACTGATGATATGCTTTCACCCCTTTTCAAAGAATAATATTGCTCAGGCCATGCATTTATCAAAGATTAAATGCACAGCAAAATAATTTTCATGCATATATCAATAAATTAACATACTGAAATGCTGATTGGCTGAGCCCCCCTGGCATGTTTGAATTAACAATAATGTTTCAAATATGGCTGACGCCCACTAATGTTAAAAAATCACACATTAGTTTTACCCCAAAAGAAAACCCAATTCATGTAGGGAGCATGGTTTTCCAAAAAAACTTTATTTTGAGCGACCCTATTAGCCCTAATGTCTGCAACTTTTTTTATAACACTAAGTCACAAGAGGGGGGTCATTTGGACCCCCCCCCCCTCTGTGTTTTTTTATTACTTTCAGAATACTATTCGAAACCCTACTACTGCCCATGTTTTCTCTGAAGCTGCGAAAATAAAATCGGTACGACTGAAAAATGAACGAAAATATGCTTATTTATTCCTATAAATTATGTAGTGGCCCTCTGACTTCCCAAATCCATTGGATTTTACTAGCCTATTATGATACTTTGTCAAAATTGATACACTTAAAGTTACAGCAATCTAAAATATATGAATGAAGGCACCCTGAGCAGTGATCACAAGGTATTTGAGTAGTAGACTGATGCATACTTTTTCACCTTTTTAAGCTAAATAATATCAAGGTGTAAAATTCACAGATTTGGCCTAGCTGAACTTGCTTGCAAACAGGAATTAAAACCTAAATATTTCTCAACTGGGCTAGAAGGAATGGAAATTGATCACTAAATCAACTTACCCTAGTTAGTCTGTTTCGTCTTGTGATTTGTTCCTTGTGTTTGAGTGAGGCCCCAGGCCGGTTTGCTCTTCTCGAATATGTTCTTTTAATGTTAAAGTATCTTTTCAGATGAGCTGTAAATTAAAATGAGTGTACAAATATACAGGATGACAACAATTTTCATAACAAGGCATTAATACGACAAAATCACACACGGGCATTTTACGTCATAAAAGCTCATCCGCTAGGTGCGCTGTATTGCATAGCAACATCCTATGCAACGTATATAAACATCGCGCGGACGTATAAGTACAACCCGTCGTTTTTCATGTTTGCAATGAAATGTTCTATTCAGGTAGGTGTTTTAAACTATGATTATCTTTCATAATTTATATTGTTATATAGGCATAATACATATCACCGTGTTTCTAAAGAATTGCTTATTTTAATCCTGTTTATTTCAAATTGATAGGTTCAATATTAGTAAAGTTACGACTTCTCTATAGAGGGGGAATTTCTTCGTAAACTAAAAACCGCATCGTCAGCAAAGATTTGACGAAAACACAACATTTTTTGCGTCCATGGCATTTCTTCATTTATAGATGAATCTTTATCAAATTTGAAATACGATTGAGCTAAATATATAAAACGTGGCTTACTCAAGGCGCAATTTTAAAATTCAAATTTAGGCCAGTCAATTGGTGAAAAAAAACAGCCTAACCTAGGACAAATTGCAATAGTTTGCAAACTTAGTTTAAATTGTTGATCAATATTCACCTTATATCATATCAAAAATATAGGAAAATATAATTAGTGGACAAATGTCAAATTTTACTTCATAGGTACCCCCTACGACCCACCCCTAAATTTGACTATTTGTTTTAAAAAATTTTTTTTATCTATAATTGAATAGTTTTTTCAAGTTTTCTTGTTATATTATGATAATAGAATGACAAAACAAAATTTTTTACCTAAGTAAACTTTCATTCGAGGCTTAGAATTTTTTGTTTCACCCTGGACGACCCCAAATGAGTCATTAAATGATTGACATTTCACGTATCTTTTCTCATATTTCTAGACTGGTGCATTCCAAAATGATTAAAAAAATCATGGTGATACATGTATATATGGCCATAACATATATGGGATACCAGTATCATCAGTGGCATATTGGGGAAGAAAAAAAATATACAAGTTTTACATTTTCGCCCCACCCACTTTTGGGGTGACCTTACTTTTGCTAAATAATTTTCAAACTATGCAATATTTCCTAACAATTCTACAACTTAAAGAATGATTTGGACATATTTCATCCAATATTAACTTTTATTCGAGTTTGGGACTCCTGTTTTGAACAAAATTATAACTGCAATTTGAAAAATCCGGAAAACGGGGGGGGGGGGTTATTTGTAAGGCTAATACTGTATGTTTTTGACATATATTTATATCAAACCAAATCAAATGTGCCAATTATGGGCCATTGCACTTATGTGCTTATGTGAAGGTATAATAGTGTGTTTGTTTAAATGAAAGTACAATCACTGATTTAGAAAGATTTGTGAAATCTTAAAATACTAGTATCTCAGACTGCTACAGGGCATTGCAGATTTTGGACTTCAAGAGAGATTGCGGTTGGCAATTAATCATCATTATTTATATTTGCACATATTCCTCTACATTCACCACATGCCATGGAACAGTCCATTCCATTCTTTCGACATGTGCAGTGCATTGTTGTGCAACCTGTCTTGCAATTACATTTGATCACTTCTAAGAGTGAAGAAGGTCCTGCCGGTAAAGTTGTAGCAACTGGGAGATAGTGGCCATTGTTCATTTCCCATCCCCATTCCTCTGGTGGAAGATTTATCCCCATCCATGCTTGTACTTGATGATATACCCTTAGGCTGTGGTGCTTTGCAGCATCAGATGTCGGTGGAAGCACTTTTGGATGAACAGACTCTCGACTAGAGGCAGCTTTCTCATGAAACTTTTGTAATCTCAATTTGTTTAAGGTTTGCCCAAGCTTACCTCCTAATAATGATACAAAGGCAGCTTCTCCTTCTTTTGATATCATGTCTTGTGTGGCATCATGCAATTTAAATGTGCAAGCACTTTTCTGAAAGACATCAGATTTCTTTATCTGCCTTTCTGAGACCCGTTTCCCAACTCCAAATAGCCTTGATGTAGTATCACAGCCAAGAAACGCATGAATGAATAGGATGTTGCTGCACACTATGTCACCTAAAGATAGTCTTGTATCTTTGATGTTCCATATTTTGGTTTTGTGTGTGGATTGCTTTGGTTCAGGTTTGAAGAATATGTTGTGTTCAATGTTGTGGGCGTGATGAATAAGCAGCACAAGGAGATCAGTGTCATCTCCTACAAGAATGGTCTCAGAAGTTGCAGCACATTCAATTGCAGTCTCTACAATGAGAAGGTCTGCATCTGCCTCTGCATGTAAAACCTCACAACCAATGGATTCTAGTCGTTCTGACAGCAGAAAAATAAAATTCTGCTTGTTTGTTGGATTCATTAAGAAATCTTCTTTCTTACATTGGAGCTTCATTGTGTTAATGAATTGGATTACAGTCCCGGTGTTCCCTCCATTTCTACGAAGATGAGTTGCATCTTTTGTGCTAGGGCCATTTTGGTACCCATCAAATACTATTTTAGCATTTTGGTACCTCAACTGCACATAGTATACATATTGGCTTAAAATGTTCTCCCATGTAAAACCTTTTTGCCAAGGAATGCGATGAAGAAGGGCGCCTCCATCAATCACATGTTGAACATCTTTGTCGCTTGGCCCTGGTAAGGATGATATTTTAGGTGTCCACAATGCTTCTGCCAGTTGTGATTTTACTGCTGGTCTCATTACACCTTTTGATTCAAACAAAGCCGGTGGAAAGGAACAAAGCTCATAAACTAGAGCCTCTGACAAATCACCAGATCGTGTACCAGCTATGGTAAGGCGTTGAAAAAGCAAAATAGGATCTATGTGTATTTCTTCATTGTTAACCTTGACTGCAGTTTTTGATCCCATGGTCACAGCTTGGCTTTTTCTTTTGAAGGAACACTCAGATACCTTTTTCCCAATCATAGATGCCACAATCACGTTGCCTAATTCTTTTGCGTCATATGCATTGACAGCAGAAGAAGCTGCAACTCCTGTTGCGATGTTACGTAATGATTGTTCAGGAAAAAAGGGATTTCTTTCAACAAGGTATTTCAGGATACATTTAGCATCTGTTACATCTTTGGTGATTCTTGTTGGTGTTGCATCTTTATGCTGCTCACTTGTGGCATATGTTATATCAGTGAGTTCTTGCATTGCACTGCTTATCTCTCCACATGCAGGTGAGGAAAGAATCCACACCAGACGCTGAATCTCAGCCATGCCCCGGCCTCTCGTGAGACCTCCTGTTGACTTGATGCTTCGCATCAGGCATTGCTCAATTATGAGATCTGCAGATAGTCCTGCCCATGACCTATCTGATCGACGAATGACATGTAGCCCATTCATAAAATGGGCATATACCTCTGGGGTCTGTTTTTCAAGGTTATTCATTTTTTGGAGATAAAGATATACAGACTTTAGGTATAGATTGTGACCTGCTGCTGCAAAATATGGCAACATATCATGCAAACATTGGAGATGAAGTGTCCAACTCCCAATCCTTTCTCCTTTTATGAAGTTCCTAAATAGGTCGATCATATCCATATATTGCAACCATAGCTTGGCAGTTTTTAGGTTTTGAAGTGAGTCTTTCTCAGCTTGAAGCTTTTCTCCAAAGACTGTCGCAACATCAATTTTGTCACCATTGTCATGAACATGATTTATTATCTTATCAAGGACAAGATGCAATTCCTTCAGGTCAATATGGGTAGCATCATTCTCTACTTCTACAAATGGTTGTTCTTGTGTACCATTTTGTTCTTCATTGGTCTGATCAAGATCAATGTCATATATCTGAGCTGCTAACATAGTATTCAATGCACTATCAATCAGAAGGTGGCCTCTAACTGCCCTAGAAACTGCCTTACCAGATAACATATGACCGACTGTATTTTCAGCATATACCAAGCTTAGGACAGCATCTAATCCTGACCCCTCCATGATGTGGCCTACAGAGCCAAGAAAACTCATCTCGGTATGAAACCCCCCTAATCTTACAACCATTTTGTGAACATCACTGTCTTCTGGCTCATTTTCTACAATTTTGTTTGCTTTCCACCAAAGTGGCTGATCAAATGTGATGACAGGAGTGCAGTTGTACCGTCCAGCATGAGATGCAACAAACTTCAAAGTTGAGTAGATACATGACATGTCACCTGGGTTCATATCTATCATAGGTAGAAACATGACTGAAGATTCACCAGGATGTTCCCCCTTATAAACCATCTGCATAAATCCTGACCAAAGTGGACAAGGAGTCTTAAAAAGCAAGGATGATTTCCACACAAGATCAAAGCCTGTTAAAGGTTTATCAAATGATTGTCTCACAAGCTCTGCATACCTCAAACTACTAAACATATCACTGTCATTTGAATAGTAGTGAGTATTGATGCGACCAATTGCCTCTATGTCTTCTGAAGACACTTCATGTCTGATCACTGGCCGAGTTGTTCTCACCTTAGGAGTGACTGTTGCAATAATGCCCATTCCATGGAATGTATTCTTGCCATCGAGAGTTCGAATGTTGTGATCTACATTATCTGCAACATGATGTACAACATGATTAGGAGTAATGTTAGGTATGTCTGTGTTTTGCATCAATGCTGCACTCCTTTCAAACCTCTGGACCTCAGAATATGAGCAACTAAACCCATGTTTGTTAAGTGTGTCAATCAAAAATCTTGACTGGAAATGATGATGGAGCTGCACACCTAGACCAAGCTGCAATGGGGCCAAAAGGGCATTTGGACGAGTGGCCTGCATAATAGCTTGTCCAATTGATGCTACTTTGTTTCTAACATCTTTACCAACAAACAACTTGCTCAAAAACATCGACAAAATGTCAGGTAAAAAGTCTAATGACTCATTGATGGAGGACATTGTGTCATATTCAGGATAAGTTTGGGGAGATTGCTTTTTGTCCTTTATGGCACTTTTTATCAAACTTGCTGCAGTTTCTATAATTTTCTCTTTTTCATCTACTTGGTCTCCTGTGTGTTGATGAAAAGCATGCAATATTTTGGCAGCATTGTCATGAAAGGTAACAACATTTTGTATTCCTTGGATATCACTGATGATAAGGTTCTCACCAAAGAATGCTTTCAGCTCTTTCTTCATGTATTTAAAGCTATAGGGTTCAATTTCACTGTCATTTATGAACTCTTTCATCTTGCTAATAAGATCAGTGACAGTTATTTGTTCATCATCACCACCTGTGAATATCGCACTTCAATAATCACTCACTCACCTATATATATCGTACCTCATTAATCACTCACCTTTGAATAAGGCACCTCGTTATCACTCACCTGTGAATATCGCACTTCAATAATCACTCACTCACCTATATATATCGTACCTCATTAATCACTCACCTTTGAATATAGCACCTCGTTATCACTTACCTGTGTATATCGCACTTCAATAATCACTGACCTGTGAATTTTGCACCTCAGTAATCATTGACCAGTAAATATCACACCTCAGTAATCACTCACCTGTGAATTTCGCACCGCAGTAATCACTCACCTGTGAATATCGCACCGCATTTATCACTTACCTGTGAATATCGCACCGCAGTAATCACTTACCTGTGAATCACTTACCTGTGAATATCGCACCGCAGTAATCACTAACCTTTTTAAATGCCTACAGCACTGCAATCAGTCTACAGCTACAGGACATCAAATCAGGAATCAGAACAGCAGATCTTCAGTCTTCATTAAATTGAAACCAATACACAAACTCTAATAATATATTCAGAATATCGAATTTTATGGTGTCTATGTATTTATTTCGTTTTCTAGGGTTAATACCTTTTTGATTCATTGTACATACTAATGAAATATGCAGATGTTGTTCTGAAACATGGCTGGTAATATTGATACAATATATAGAGTAAATATATGTATATTTATATTAAATATATATTATTTATTTATATATTCAATGTGTAATTGTTATTTTGATGTTCATTTTGTATTTTTATTTTTCTCCACCTCTATTCAAATATATTAATTTGGAAAAGCTAATTTTGCAATAGATGAATGGTTGGATTGGTCAGGTGTTTATTGTAACAAACGTTTGAAGTCAACTTTGAAGTAGACCCTTGAATTTTAGATGGCGCTAGTGTTTCTAAGTTTCATTTTAAAACTGTTTAATGATTAAATAACTAAGAGATAGTGTTTATGGGTCAGGTAACCATGTTGTATTCTCAAATTAGAGTTGATTTAAGCTATAGAGATGTGATATCTCAGTTGTTATAAGTAACGGTAATTGGACCCTAATATTTCATCTTGCATCAAGCATATTATGAGATTTTTAACAAGACAGGGGAAATAACTCCAATAAAAAGTTATGTACAAGACAGAATGGGTTTATATTTGTATTTTGATATCAAATTTGAGGACATATGTGGTATATATTGGAAGTTATATTGCAAAAGTAAGGTCACCCCAAAAGTGGGCGGGGCAAAAAATTGAAATTTTAAATATTTTTTTCTTCAAAAATATGCAAGTTGAGAAGTTGGTATTCCATATGTGTATTACCTGTATATAGAAGTATTACCATGAATTTTTCCATGGCTCTTGGATAAAGCAATTAAGAAATATATGCATTATAATAAAATATTTTGGCCATATGACAACATATTTTGGTGTATTTGGGAGGTAAATTGTCAATTGTTGGCACAAAAAAGCAATAAAAGTAGATTTAAATCCCCTCTGAATCTTTCCCCTGAACTAATACAACATAAAAACATGTAAAAACGATTCCAATATGGAGAAATTATTTTTTCCCTTACCCCTAGTCAAAATTGGGGTGGGGGTACCTAAGAAGTGAAATTTCATATTTGTCCACTACATATATTTTCCTATATTTTTAATATGTTGCTACATATATATCAATTCACCAATTAAACCATGTTTCAAAACTATTGCAATTTGTCAGATGTGAAATCACCAATTGACTGGCCTAATTACAATTAGAGAAAAAATAGCTGACCCGTGTCAAGTTTTAACGCTGATTTTCGAAAAAAATATGATGTAATTATAGGATTGGAAGAAAAAGAATTCTTTAAACTGCACAGGACAAAAATCATTACATACGTTAATAAGGGCATCATCAACTACTAGAAAACCATGTGTAAAGTTGGACAATATTTGACCCGAATTGACCGGCAAAATGGCCGAGCGCTCGCAGCGCCTCTAGCGGATGAGCCTTTATGACGTAAAATGCCCGTGTGTGATGTCACCACCTAAAAAAAATTAAAAAAAATTAAAACAAGTTGGAAAGACCTTTTTGACCTTGAGAAGGCCAATGAAGGTCGGATCTGAAATCTTAAATCAGATTTGAGCTTCTTAGATCTTGTAGATCATTTTGAAAAAAATTTTAGTCAATTTAAAGCAAGTTGAAAAATACCCTTTGACCTTTTTTAACCAAGAGAAGGTCATTAAAGGTCAAATCTCAAATCTAAAGTCAGATATGAACTTCTGAGACCTTGAAGATGATTTTGAAAAAAACATTAGTCAATTTGAAGCAAGTTGGAAAAAGACCTTTTTGGACCTTGAGAAGGTCATTGAAGGTCAGATGTCCAATCTGAATTCAGATTTGAACTTCTTGGAACTTGTTGATGATTTTGAAAAAAAATTGTTAATTTGAAGCAAGTTGAAAAAAGACCTTTTGACCTTTTTTGACCTTGAGAAGGTCATTGAAGGCCAGATGTCAAATCTAAAGTCAGATTTGAACTTCTGGGAACTTGTAGATGATGCCAGACGCCTTCACAAAAAAAACGCTTTTGGTGGTGACATAAAAACACAAGAACACAAATGTAAACAATGTAAACCACCAATGGGGGGCCCTTTACTGATTTTTCATCCAGGCTTTATGCGTATACAGTGTACTATGGTAATCAGTTGAAAAGACAGGATTTTAAGATGAAAAGAACCTTAGATTCCAATTAATGTTTCAGTAAATAACACTTCTCCTCTTTTTTATATCCACCTCACACTCTGTTTGGTGACACAATTATTTTCTTTTTGGTTATATCAGGAGGTAAGGTATGTCACAAGAAAATTTATTTGGAGTGAAAAATGAAAAGATTCAAGGACAAAAGTAAGAATAAGCTTACCTTCCACTACAGTGATTGACCACTTGTCATTGTGTTTTAAAATCTCTTCAGTTACTTTCCTATTGAGCTGCATGTTTTCAGGAGCTATGAACCTATAACATAAAAACAAAGGGAATGTTTAGCAGGTAAGTTTGTTGCTAAATTTCAAAGATCAGGTGTTTCTCCAGTAGTCACACTAATAAATGATGGCCCTAAATGAGGTGTATAATGAACATGTTGATGACCAAACATAAATTTAAACATGTACCTTTTCAACCATTTGTTTATGTTAAGAACACAGTTGTAGAGATAACACTCTATGAATAATATATCATGCAACTACCCTAACTCCAACTAATATCTTTCTTCAAGGTAACCAAGCAAAACATGTTACCATCTATTTTAGAGATATGTGCATTTATGTCAGTTATGTGAGTTAAATTTCATTTCATTTTGAAAGAAAACTGTGCCAATATTGGGTCACCCTATACATGAACATGTATATGGAAGTATTCGAAGTTCAACTTACTTAGCATCAAAATTCCATGGATCTAAGTTAAGAAGAGTTGTACAGCTTCTGATGCAAACAGGTACAAGAGCCTGGAACAATAAGCAAATTAGCATGATTATACATTGCATTGGACCATTTTACATATACAACTCAAAATCATATTTTAGAAGAAATGGCTAAATCTTCCTAAATATAAACTTCAAAACACATATCAGGATTTGATTGCAGCAATCAATGACTTGAGCAAAATATTATTTTTAGACCAAGAAAGTTTCCAAATATTTGAATTTTTATTTTAAGTGAACCAAATGAGTTTTGAGAATGATGATCATATCATGTAATATTGTATTGAGTGTACTAGATATCATGTGCATAGCCAGGGTTACAATGGGTAAAACCATCAGACAGAGGGAGATGAAAGCTTTAAAAAGTTTTATTTTATTTGAGACTTCTAGAATGAAGTTGCGTCAATCTTGTAGAATTCGAGAGAAATTCTTACTGAAATATATCAATCCACCTCTGGCTGAAAATGACTTGGCCCCTGACTGTCGTCAATAAACTCAATAACGCAAAATGTATTTGACATCATGATTTTTACATATGGGCTATATCAATATAATTGAGAATGAGATTTTTTACAAAAAAACAATTATTACCGCTATATGTGGATTTCTCTCAAATTTCTTGTGTGCATCTTCTTCCTTTTTCATCCTGTGGGCTTTCTCCTCCTCCATAAGCTTTAATATGGCATTCTGGTTGGCTATGATTTGCCTCAGCTTGGCATTGCTTGGCGGGGTTCCTTGGCCTGGCGAGCTTGTCCCAAACTCAAATACTGAAAGAACAAGTTTCTCCATTCTTCAAACAAAGAAACAATACTACCAGTTGTTTTAGTGTGGCACTTAAAACAATGTCCCATATTCATCTGATTAAGCGCACAGACCAAAAGTATTCAAAAAAATGTTTGGTAATAAAAGGTTATTAATTGCACAGTTCTGGTAAGCACATGTGACTTTTAGGATGAATATGGTCTCAAGGAATTCAATACTTACCAGCAAGGATGGTTTTACATCCTTTTCAATGGCAATTTTAAGCTTTTTTATTTAATGCAGACAACCAGGAATAAAATAAGTTAATTCATGGTATAAAAGGGTTATGTACTGGGAGGTATTGGATAAAGGGTATATCCTGAGGGATATATTTATATCTCACCAAGGGACTGAAGGGACCAAGCGGAGATATAAATATTTCCCGAGGGATATACCCGATATCCAAAACCAACCGTACACAACTGGTGTATCTCATACTTGAGTGGGTTTCGGGTAGAAATAATCTTTCCACCTTTTCAAATGACAAGATAGGCCTATACTTTGAAAGCACAATTTATACTTTACATTTTCGTAATATTCCTTTAGTTCAATACAATAAAATTGTAAAATTTAAACTTTTGTAATTGTGAAACAAGAACTGTTTATGAATATATTGTTCAAGAATGAGATGTTTAAAAAGAACAATTAAATTGAAAAATTCCCGGGATATATTATATCTGCCCACATTTGGCCCGGAGCGGGACATATACAATATATCCTGCCCGCTCCTCAGATATGATATATATTCCCAGGTGATATCTACCCCAAACCCACTCAAGTATGAGATACATATTGATTTTAACCTGTTATTGGTTATTTAGTCTGTGCGCTTATTCAAATCTTTCCTTTTTAAATTTAAATCTGGAATACATTAATTATTAAAGCCCATGTTTTAACTAATCTTTAGTCATTTTCGCTGATGCTAATTCAAGAGTTCCTGTGTACCATCTCTACATTAAATAAACATAGAAACACTTAGAATTTCCATTGAAAAGAGTGAAGATCTAAAATTGGTTGCTATTTAACTTGTGCATTAATTTCTCAATCTGTATAATGTGCCAATTGTTACAAATATAGCTAATTTTTATTTCATATCTGAATGATATGAGACTTGTCATTTTGCCTCAAGCAGTTTTATGATGCTGAACGCCTAGATGCATACTTTCCTTTTCTAGCATTCATTGTACACAAATGCATACATATTATGAAAAGTAATTAAACAAATTATTGAAAATTGAAATCAGAATGAAAAACGCTGATCTACCTATAGTTGTTAAGAGGTCGCTGGAGGACTCTTGATGGACATCTTTATCTGGTAACTTATCACTTCAACCCCTAATCAACTCTTAGTCAACTCAGAATCAACTCAACCCCAAGTCATCTCAACTCTTAGTCAACTCAACCCTAAGTCATCTCAACCCTAAGTCAACCCAAATTTAAATATCAATTTAATGTATGTTTTCATTATGATTTTGATGAATTCTGAAAGAACTTAGGAAGAATAGAATGAAATATTAATTTACTTGCATATTGTAAAGGCAAAAGTGGGTTTGGTCACGAGGTATTAATTTTAAAAGATTTGAATCCATTGCTTTTATTCATAGAAGTTTAAGAATATGTGATTCAATGTGAATTTGTAATTGCCTTATCAAATCTCAACTGCACTTGACATTGGTTGGATACAAATCTTCATTTCTTGAAGTTTATTTTAAATTTCCACTTAGTATGCTGTACCCCTCCCATCTGATGATATCAGATTGCAAAGGGTAACCAACTAAATCAGAGCATATTTCTAGTTGAAGGCAGAAAGATGTGATGAGTATCAGAATGGTCAAATTGCAATCAAGACCTTCACAGGGTTTCTTGTTTATATATCAGGCACCTGAGTCAGGTTGTAATAATATTCAGATGTACAGTTGGCTACTATTTGTTTAATCCAATCTCAGCAAACTCAGCAAACATAAACATGGGAATCACAATTTCAGAAAAACTTTTAAAGAAAAATACGGGAAAGGGGATTAAATCTTTTGAAATAAACTACCTTGATTAATATGTATTATCTTGAATGAAAAATTATTTAACAAAAGGTATATACATGTATGTATCAACCCAGGAGATTATCTACGGCCCTCGGGCAGATATATTATATTGGCCTCGGGATAATCCCAATATCCTGAACCTCATATAGGATAATCTCTATATCTCCCGCTCATCAGATCTAGGACGTCACAAATTCAGGGAGTAGATACTGAGCCAGGTGACTTTGCTATTATTCCTCATAATCTACTAAGTATAGAATAAATCAGTTATTAAATGCTCGATTTTTGATACAGGGTATATCCCTCGATAAATACAATATATCAACCCTCGGTCCCTACGGTCCCTCGGGTTGATATATTATATTTCCCTCAGATATACCCTGTATCAAAAACCTCCCATTAAATAACCTCTATGTATCAGAGATAGTTTCAAGATTAACCAGTTTGATTAAAAAATGAATGACTATATTTAACAACAAATCAAGAATCAATGAAAAAATAGAAACATACATGTATGACGTATGTACAAGGCCTATTTTTGTATATTGCAGATAGTTATGCATAATGTGCAGCAAAGCTGTGGCCTTTTGTAATTTAGGGAGTTTCAGCCATGTTAATTTTTTCGAAAATAAAATGGCAGAGAAGCTTCTAAATATAAGAGACACATGATCATATATACTAGATAATTGAAAAATCCAGAAAATATTTGTAAGTTTGTAAGTTGTGAGGGGATTATTTGGAAGTTGTAGCAACTGAAACCTTGTGAATCAAGGCTTAAACAATAGGAGACAAAATTCTTGCTTGATTGCTATATAACAATGTAATTATATACAACTTGAAATTACTAAGTAATTAGTTTGTCTGTACCTACTTCCTTGTTTTCATAAGTAATTATAGTTGTAGTTGATATTCACTATGGGTTAACATTAATATTGAGATGTAAGAGTTATATCCAAATGTATCAGAGACAGATATGATCTGGTTGTTTTTCCCTAGATAGAATTTTAGAGGACGTGTATCATTTAGGGCCCATCTTATCCCCTATAGATATTTCATAATAATGTATGTCATATTGAAGAGGAATCATTTGTGATAATTTTGTCCATTGACATTTTGCACTATAGTCCGTATTATGCTGTATACTTTTTGGTGTTTTTACAAAATGTCACAGTTATTCACCATTGTCTAAATATAAACAACAGTTTCAAGACTAACCAGTTTGATTATATCGAGATGATTTTTACTTGTAAAAGCACAAAGGGCAATATTACAACAAAACAAAATGCTATTTGGTAGGCTCTTGGCTAGCAATGGTTAAATTACCTAAGTGTCTTTGGAGATCTATAGATGATCAGATGGTTGGACTTGGAATATAACCCTATGAACATTCCAATAAGTTTAAACACATACAAAAGGCCGGGACAAAGGGCAACATTTTGAAGATTTCACTCAATTATAGGGTATTCCGTAGTCCAATTAAAAAATAAATGACAGCCCTTGCCTATATTTAACAACAAATCAAGAATCAATGAAAAAATAGAAACATACATGTATGTACAAGGCCTATTTTTGTATATTGCAGATAGTTATGCATAATGTGCAGCAAAGCTGTGGCCTTTTGTAATTTAGGGAGTTTCAGCCATGTTAATTTTTTCGAAAATAACATGGCAGAGAAGCTTCTAAATATAAGAGACACATGATCATATATACTAGATAATTGAAAAATCCAGAAAATATTAAAATGAGGATCCGGAGAATATTGAATATTTATATTCATGTATTATTTACTTAGACCCTACATTATAATTTGTATCAGTGGTACTCTCAATGGGTGCATCTAGTCAACAGTTAAAGCTCCTTGGCTTACACAAACTTAACTCTTGAAATCACATTAAAAAGCATTCATTCTATATTTAGATTATTAAAATCAGATGTTCTTAGTCACGAGATGAACTACCCTCTGCCTAGTATAGACTATATTACAGTTTAGCAGCCCCGTCCCGAAGATTGGTTCCTGTGACAATAACCCGGGTAATAAATCGTTCCAAACGTTGACTTTTACTAAAATATACATTATGCACTTATTCTTCAAAGTATTTACATACTGTATGCGGGTTCCTGAGAAACTATACATGAATTAAATATAATATGAGAAATGAGATCTTCTATGCTTGATGTAGATCCCCCCCCCCTGCCGATGCCAATGACATGTACACTCAACTTATATGATGCTCAAACACCAGATCATTGTCACATATATATGAGTATATACGTGCATCTAATATGTTTAACTTTGCTTAAATAGTACCTGAGACTGTATATTAGTCTCAGATAGTACTATGGAATCTCAATGGACAAAATAACATTTCTAGAGAAAATGTGCTTTAGTAATCTATGATGGATCACACCCATCATAGAATGGTGATTGCACCCCCTGACTGAAAGCTGGCTATGCCCCTGCATTGATCTTGATAGGTGATGGTAGACCCCTACCTAGACATTTTTTTCTAGATTACACGATGCTCCTGAATACCTCCCCGTTTTTGCACTATAAACCTTAAATAACTTCAATAATTTGTCATTCTGATACATCTTTCTGTTTTACCTGAAACATCATCTGATAGTATGAGGCATATTCTGTGATCTGAGCACATCATGGAAGAGTTATACATGAAATTGTCAATAAGTGTGAAATTCATTGCACTATAGGCATGTATTTAACAGCAGATATTAGTACAGGCACAGGTACACAAGTTTTATGTTGAGTTCCCTCTTAGATGATAAGAGTTGGGATGAAAGATCTCAAAGATCCTCAATTTTGGGCACTCTTGGACCAAATCTAACTCATTAGATCATGGCATCTCAGGGTCAAGAAGAAATGAGATGACATTGTTCATCATGATGCTAATTTGTTATATACATGTATCATGAATGTTTTGGGAGATTCTATTGGAAAGGATCTGTACCCATTAGTGTACCTATAAGAACTTAGAAAATTATTGAAAAGGGTGAAATGGAATTCCAGAATTATCTTTATGCAGTTTGAATCTTTATTAAGTATATTTTCAACAAATCACAAAAATTGTGTGGAAAATATGGTAAAAAGGTGTTTTTAACAGTGATTCTTAACACATGTCATGTTGACTCTTAGAGTGGGCAATTTTGACATATTTTCACAAAACCTTGATTAAAATCTAGAGTTTTGTAGATAGACTTAATTTGATTTGTCAATATATGAACTACAATGTGCCTAATCTACTAAGCTTCACTTCATTTGCCAGTCATGCATAAATAGTTAAATAGTTAAAATACTCCAAGTATACTCATCCAGTTGTTGAACAGTGCTATTGTACATTTATATATCTGATTCTGCCTTTAAGATTGACTGCTATGTAATAATTTTTGAAGTGCAAAATGCTAAAAAAAGATTTAAATAAAACATATTATTTACCATCTGCAGTTGAAGATCTTCTCCTTTTGGGAGTTGGAGCATTAGGACTTCTTTGGGCCATCTTACTGTATGTTTCTGTAACTGTCTGTTATATAGCTGTCTTCTTGTCTCGATAGCTGGAGATAGAATGAAGAGCAAAACACATGTACATGTACATTATCCACTTTTCCTCTAATTAGGGATTAACCTTATTGAAACTAATTGTTATTTTCATGAATCATAACTTTATCAAAGAATTAAACTCTTAATTGGCTTATCATCCTAGGTAAAACTAAAGGACAATCATATAAACTATTAAGAAATTAATTTTGCTATCAAAATTTTGTGTTGTAATGTATTTCTTAAACAAGTTATAATTAAATCTAATGATTTTGGTTTATAATCATAAAAATCTGTTGGAAATTGTTGGAGTTACGCAAAATGTGGTAAATTATTTTAAACAAGGCTAATGCAGTTCTGATTTCATAAAAGGATTATAATTGGCTTATAACTAATTAACCTTAAGGTGATCAGTCAAAACTATCAAAAATTCATTTCACCATCAGAATTTTGTGATGTATTTACAAAAATCGTTATTATTAAATTTCAGGATTCAGGTTGAAAAAATCATAAAAATCGGGTGGAAATTGACCAAGTTATGCCAAATGTAATCAAGAGATCAAAATGATAAGAAGGCCCGTAGATTCTGTTTCATTGAAAGGTTAAAACATATCTTGCGTGCAGAGTTAGAAACTACCCTCGAGTGAAGACGAAGCTCTCTTTTAAGAAGCGAAGTTGAACGAATGCAAAGGGTAGACAATCAGTAAAAATATTTAAAACAATATTATATAATAATCAGACCCCAGTGATGATTATAAATGTAACTTGCAACCAAGGAGGATTGACTCCCAGAATGCAACACCGATATTCTGCAAAACAATCACCAAGCGATACCTTTGTTGGAGAGCATCGGTTCATTCTCCCCTCTGCACTTAATGTTGCACCTTTAAAGAATATCGAGTTGGAACCCTGGCTTCCAATCCTCCTTGACTTGCAACTTTGCAATACATTTTCTAATTTTTGGTTCAAAAAATAAAAATCAGAGAGAAATTGATAAAGTTACACCAAATGATTCATTGATATGAAGAAATGCATAAGACTTCTGATTTCATTAAAGGATTATTTCTCGCTAAACCCTAAGGTTATCAGTTGAACAATAAAAAACTCAATTATCAAAATCTATTGTACTCCCGGTATTTTTCGTATGCGTTTTGGTTTCGCACTTTTCACGTTTGTGATAAAATTGCGAAAATTTCGCAAAATCTTTGCGAAACTGTCAATTGAATCCCCGGGGATTCGTGAAATTTTTTATTACCTCTCCATTGCATTCCGTGTTTTGTAAAATGTTTGTTAAGTGTTTTTAGGCAATAAATGGGATACTAAGTAACAATGTCTGTTACAGTGGCTTATTAGATCAAATAAACCCCAATAGCTGCAAAATCATGTTTTCTCAAAATTAACCAGGAGTATGGTATAATATACAGGGTGTCAAATAATTCCTGTCCCCCCTTTACAGCCAAACCCTTAATAGATGGTACCCAGTGTGATATACCATTGGAAAGATCATCCAAAGTTACGTTAACTCACATACTCTCAAATATTTTGGATAAAATTTACCTATATTTTCATGATGTCTTTAATAGTGAGTGAGCCCTCCTCCAGCAGCTTTTACTGCATCAAAATGAGTAGGAAATGGCCTCAAAAATGTGTCTAAAAGTTACTATTTTTCGCATTTCACTAGTTACAAACAAGTTTCCACCACTATCCTTGCCCCTGTATTTTCTACACATCTAACCCTGTCCAGAAATTGGTTAAATTCACCGCCATTTACTTAACTGTCATCTTGAGCTCCTTTGATTTCTCTTATTCCCGATTCTTAAAATCCTGCCAAATAAGCCAAATTCTCCATTTCGCTGTTCGCTCTTTGAATCAGAACGTTCGCATATATGGTGCATATATGTACTCAAAAAGGACAAAATTTGATTGGTCAATATTTTTCAACGATGCATTTCGTGTAGCTATTTGTGAGACCCGAAAGTTCTAAATCAAATTAATTACGCAATTTTGTTTTTACACCCGCAAGCTAAATAAAAAAAATGACACCATCGGAATTCTTCTTCTTTGTCATTGAATTAATAGTCAGTATACCAGATTTAATCAATAAAAGATTATACAATTAACAACAAAATTCGGAAACGAGTATGTAAGATTTGCTTTCGAACCACTAAACTTGACCTAGATAATAGCGACGTGTCTTCTTTGGTCAAATGCTCAGTTGTTTGTGGGTTTTCAACGTAACTCTATAATGTAATATGAAGATGAGTACTTTTATTCAGTTGTTGCATCGATGTTACAGTTTGTAGTGCGGTAATATTGGCATGAACGTGTTGAAAGTCGAATGGAATTGCTTTTTCCAATATGGCGACTAGTCACGTGACTTCTTCTCTTCCGGAATATACTCCCATTTTCAATCATTGTTTTCACCCCGTTAGGAGCCAATAAAATGAAAAAAAATATATGTTATATAAAGATTATTAAAAGACTAATTGTTTCTGATAGTTTGTTTTCTCCGATCGCATGGAGATTCGATCGAAAATATCGCTTGAAAAATGGGTATGAAAATCCCCATGTTAAACCAACGGGGAAAAACAAGGTAGAAAAATTTTGTTCCCCCGCGAACTGCATCATGGGAAATATTTTGACCTTATAAGGAAAAACTTTTGCGCCATCTTTATTAGAGATTCAATACTACCGAATCCGCGATTTTAAGAATTGCTTTGTTTTTAGGTCTTTGGTCACCTCATTTGATACAATGTAGCAATTTGTGACATTGATTGACAGGTATCAGATATATGCCAATCAACTTAACTTTGGACAATCTTTCCAATGATATATAATACTTGGTACCATATATCTTGGTTTTGGCTGAAGAGGGGGGGGGACGGGACTTATTTGACACCCTGTACAGAGTACATTATTTAGAAAAGTCATTATAAATAAGTTTTTCATGACTTGAATAGGTAGAAAAAGCAAAAATCAGTTTATCAATTGTGAAGTTGCATCAAATGTAGCGAATTGATACTTAGTATATTCAGGCTGCAGGCCTGTCAACTGTCCTGCAATTTGCGTATTTGCCACCCATTTGCTGAAGAATTTGAAGTCACGCCAGTTTTTTTTGCGTGACAGAAAATCTCACGCAAATACGCATTTTACTTGGTAATTGTCCAGCAAAAATATTTCTGTAGAAAAATGTCAAAAAAGTTTGCCGATATGGTAAAAATACGAAAGTCGAAAAAAAAGCAAACGCAATATATGCATCAAAGAGGCACTGTTAATATCCCACCAAAGTTCATATGGCTATAGAGAAGCCGTCCGTCCGTGTCAGGGTGTGTCAAATACCGGTTGACAGATTAGCTTCAAATTTTATAGACGTATGGGTGTAACACCTTATCTGACATTTGTAAGATGACCTGAATTTCAAAGTGGACGTCATTTTTGGTAAACAATGTAATCTTTGATAACTTTGCATGCAATAAAATTGTCAACTGTCCCTCAATTTGCGTATTGCTGACAGGCCTGTCAACTGTCCCACAATTTGCGTATTTGTCACACATTTGCTGAAGAATTTGAAGTCACGCCAGTTTTTTTGCGTGACAGAAAATGTCACGAACGCATTTTGTTCGGATTTGTCACGCGAATTCTGTATATGTTACGCATTCCTATCGGAAATTTCCGTACCTACCCCCCCCCCCCTAAATTTGGACAAAGGTGTTCAGATTTGGACTAAGGCAGGCCTGTCAACTGTCCCGCAATTTGGGTATTTGTCACACATTTGCTGAAGAATTTGAAGTCACGCCAGTTTTTTTTTGCGTGACAGAAAATGTCACGCAAATACGCATTTTACCTGGTAATTGTCAAGCAAAAATATTTCTGTAGAAAAATTTTCAAAAAATGTTTACGATCAGTAAAAGGTAAAAATACGAATGTCGGAAAAAACCGAACGTAATTTGTTCGGATTTGTCACGCGAATCCCGTATATGTCACGCATGTTCATTGAAAATTTCCGTCGAGCGAAGCGATCTCGAAAAATTTGAGGTGTTCAAACTTTGGCAATGGTGCTCAAACTTTGGCCAAAGGTGTTCAAAAGTTGGCCAAAGGTGTTCAAAATTTTGACAAAAGTGTTCAGATTTGGACTAAGGTGTCCAACATTTGTAAGTCACTCATATTAGGTGGTTCCAAGTTGACAGCCCTGACTAAGGTGTCCAACATTTGTAAGTCACTCATATTAGGTGTTCCCAAGTTGACAGCCCTGTGCTGAAGAAATTCACGCCAGTTTTTTGTGTTTGACAGAATCTGTTACACAAATGCATTTTCTGATTATTGTCATTGTCAAGCAAAAATATTCCTGGAGAATTGCGTATAGTAAACTGTCACACATTTGCTTGGAAATTTTTGTCTCTACCCTCCTTGACGGAGTTCATGAACTCAAGCATGTCTTATGATGTCACAGAGATCGTGAACGTGAGCGATATTGGGATGTATGCAATAAAATTTGGTTCAGATTTGGACCAAGTTGTTCACAATTTGAAGGTGTTCAACACTTGTAAGTCACTCAATTTAGGTGTTCACAAGTAGCCCTTTTGTTCTGTGGGATTTGCTACTCCGTTGAGTTTATTTTCTAGTAAGCGTATACTTTTATATTGCAACAAGACTCATTGATTGCACAAGATGTGAAATAGCAGTAATCCTTACCTGTAATTCTTCCATGATGCAAGTCAGCCATTTGAAGAGTCACTCAAAGCACCTGTCATTATCTCCTCCTCATTTGAAGAGCCCTGGGAAGAACCTGTGATTTTATTTTCAACTAAAAATAACCACACACCCCTGGCTGTAGTGTACATCGAGTAACACTGGCGGATCCATCCCTCCCATTAAATAACCTCTATATCTAATCTATGCGTTCATTGCGTTGCATTGAATAACTCAGCCTAGAATGATCATTCTGGTTTCAAGCTGTTCAAAGAAGTACAAATAAGTTTAGTAAACGGTATGTTGGATGTTTTATCACAACATTTCTCATTATGCATGTTTTCACCACGTTCTTTAATTGAAATGTTTCCTATATGCGTTTCGGAATTTTTCAGTCCCAAAACGATAATTCAGGATAATTGCATTTTTTGCCCAGCAATATACAGATATAGGCAGAATCAGAGCTCGAGAGGAGTTAACACTGCACTGCAACTGAGTGACATGTTGAATTGACAATTGAGAAACTGACTCAAATAATTACACTCTTCAATATTTCATTTTAAATTCGTTTACTAAAACTGTTTGAAACCTGTACCCACTACTACCCAAGATACAGGTTTGGTACATTCGCGTGAAACCTGTATAAAACTCGTACCCTGAATTATATACAGGTTTTGGTGCACTGTACGAAACCTGTATGAAACCTGTACACAGGATATATACAGGTTTGGTAAACTGTACTAAACCTGTATGAAACCTGTATCTTCGATATATACAGGTTTTGTACATACGAGTGAAACCTGTATGAAACCTGTACGCAGGTTATATACAGGTTTGGTGTACTGTACTAAACCTGTATGAAACCTGTATCTAGGATATATACAGGTTTGGTACACACGGGTGAAACCTGCATGAAACCTGTATACAGGATATACGCAGGTTTGATACGTGCCGTATGAAACCTGTATGAAACCTGTAAGCAGGTTTCAAGGGTTTGATACACATTTTTTGCTGTGTGATATTTTCAAATATGGTCAAATTCTGTTATTCTACTAAAGCCCGCGCCATGTGTGTTTGGAATAGAGTCAAATTCTGGTATTCTATCAAAAGCCTGCGCCATGTGTGTTAATATCAACGACATTTAATGTGTGCTATTTTAATGTCAACACAACTGGATATAAAGACCATGCGATATATACTGGAAATATTGCTTATTTATTCTTACATTTATTCATACATTATGTTTTATGTTGTCTGAGTTTATATAAGAACATTTTGAGTTTTGTCCAAAAAATCAAAGCTGTTTTTAAGAATTAATAAGCAATATTTTCAGTTAATATCGTATGGTCGTCGATAGCCAGTTGTGTTGACATTGAAATAGCATACATTAAATGTCGTTGATATTAACAGACATGGCGCAGGCTTTGATAGAATAACAGAATTTGACTCTTCAAAATAACAATTTCCGTAAATTTGCCCACATGTACTCTTTACATTGCATTTTGTTGAGGTATATTAATAAGGTTTAGATTAACAAAGAAGATGCCAAATGAAAATTGGACACTTTTCGCATCACAGCCTGTTCAAATAATCTGCTGTTAAAATATGGGTTGTATTTTCTATGCAGTTTTCGTATTCAGTTTTAATTATTAATATGATATAGATATGTCTGACTTAAATCACCTGCAAGCCTAACCATACCTGGTTCTTTGAATTTTTTCAGGGGAATTCAATCCTTTCGTTATACAATATAGCATTATGAGCAACTATACAATGTAAATGGCGAATTTAACGACCCGGCTCTGTATCAAATAATAATTAATTTTGATATTCTTTGGATTCACCAAGCTTTACAGAGAGTTGGATTTTAATCAAATATATTAAACTAGATCAAATGTTACGCGCTCTTTCAGGCCTTGAAATCAAAATTAGAATCAAATGATCTGATATGAAAACGATGCCTATATCCAGGAAATTACAATTTTTTGCATTTTTAGACATTTTTTGAACAAAGATAACAGAGTTGTGTTTTGACCTCCAATCGATTCAACTAGTTCCAAATACCATTTACAGGTCCAGGATCACAATGTGCAGGGTCAGAATGACCCTAAACATGATGAAATAACCTTTTTAGCCCTTTGAAAGTGTGACTGAAAAAAAGCTAAAAGTAGGAGCTAGGGAAGGTCACTGAACAGAATCTTTTGAATTTTTCAGAAAATGTGCCCAATATAAATTTTAGAAAATTGTCTTAAACAAAAATGACAGTCATAAAAAGGAATCGCTTTTAAAATCAGTTTTTTCATTTTTTTTCTTTTTCCATGAATGATATCAAATTTTCAAAGATTGTATCATTTAGAGCAATATATTGGGCACATTTTCTGAAAAATTCAAAAGATTCTGTTCAGTGACCTTTCCTACCCTCCTACTTTAAGCTATTTTTCAGTCATATTTTCATAGGGCTGAAAACGTTATTTCATCATGTTTAGGGTCATTCTGACCATGAACATTGTGATCCTGGACCTGTAAATGGTATTTGGAACTAGTTGAATTGACTTGAGGTCAAAACAGAACTCTGTTATCTTTGTTCAAAAAATGTCTAAAAATGCAAAAAAAATTGTCATTTCCTGTTTTGTCATTTCCTGTTAAGTTCCATAGCACCTTAACTAAAACAAGATGCGGCCACGGGTAGGTTATAGCTATGAGCCGGAGTGCTAAACATCTCATACTAAGTATACTTTCTAGTTATTCATCTCTCTATCTTTGTATCTTTGGTGCGAGCTTTAATTAATTAAACTTGGCCTGGAAGGATCTATGTTATGAAATACGGATAATATATAGACAGTGGCGGATCCAGCCCCCCCCCCCCTAAGTTGGGACAAGAAAAAATTGGGCCTTAAATTTTTTTCTTTGATCTGAAATTTGCCCCCCCCCCCCCTTGTTGGTTCTCAGATCCGCCCCTGATAGATGCAAAGTCTTATCCTCATATTGTAGGATATTCTATTAGAATCTAACATGTTGACATACCGTGTACTATCAATTGAAAATAAACACAAACGTACTAAATCACAGACGATTCCTGCAATTCAAGTCCATGAATCTTTTTTATTTGCCGAGCGATTATACAGAGTGGGCAAGATTACGTCGATATTTCACATCTTCGGGGGTTTATGAATCGGAAAGGTTAACTTATATAAATGTTCTTTAAATGAAAATGTACAATTTTCAGGAGACGCGATAGTTTTATATATTAGGTATTTGTCAAGCGTCGATCAGTTAATAGACTTTTCATGCGACAAAGACTGGAGTGACATTTGGGTACAGTATGAATGAATTCAAGGAACTCGTGCGTTTCGAACCCGGGGTCTCTTGGTTGCAGTAATATAGCAGCACCTGTTTATGGAAGTACTTGTGCAGTCTGTTAAAACGTCTTTATTTTACATCGTTGATCCTTCCAAGAGTATAGTTACAGATAATTCATGGATCCTACTTGTCCTATATCAAATGATTATTGAACTTGTCAAATATATCGTCGCTATGTTTATCCTTCGTTCAATATATTACATAAAACAAACATTGGGTTTGATAAACTGCTACTAGATTGTCATTATTGTTTAGTAACCGACATATGATTAATTCGATCCATTTTCCCGGGAGACTAAGTTAAATGAAATCCAATGAAGAAAGCTTTGAATTATTGGAAATATGTGCCCATGTGTGACATGCATCATTTTGATGTCAATGCCTGATTGTGAATGAATCTATGGAAAAGTCAATACCTTAATAGACTAGATGCGAATAAAAATAATCTTGATTTACGTCATTAAATATTCAAAATTCAGTCAAAGTGATGTCATATTTGAAATCTACATGTAAAAGTACATCTAGAAATATGGTTTCGAAAATTGTTAATCAAATTTGGAGATTTAATTTTTTTGAAAATGTGACTTCTAGTTCGGGTTGATTCCTCATAGACCCCATGTTACAAAATCACAAAAGGAGAAATATCTTTTCTTGTATTGGACAGATGACATTTTCTTTTACTGGACATATTTTAATTTGCATAACTATTAGATACATAATGGTTATATAAAAGTCGAAGCACTAAAACAGATGTAATTTAAGTTAAAGGGAACTTTCTACTATACCCGCTATGTTATCTGACCCGAACGAGCCACCTGGTGGCGAAACTGGTAACTACCTACTCGCATCTGCGTTATTAATTCGCGGTGTAGTCACGTTTCGTTCAGATGATAAGCTGCGCACGCACTCCAATATATGTTTTTTCATTGCCATAGGGGGTAACACAACCAAAATGCTAAAACATGCGTATTCCCATCAAAATCATTTGTTTTTCAGAGAAGAACGATTTGTGGACATGTTTTGCTATCATGCTGTCATACCCCAGTATGCCCTCTGTCAGTCGAAAAAGTTTGAAAGCAAAACTCCCCACAAAAATCAAAATATGCCATCTTTAGAAAATGTAAAAACTTGACACTCTGATTTTGACAGATGTAAAAAGGTCAAATGTTTTAAAGAAAATGCACCTCAGTCACATCAAATGATGTGTTAGAGTTGGTCCATACATACACTTTTCATTCATGTACTTACCAAAATCCAACCACTGCATGGTGATGCTAATATGAATACAATAATAAAGTGCAGTTTACACATTGTAAAACATTAAAGTGGGAACATCGACTGTCGAGTCATATCCAATGATCCGGAGACTATCGTAACATGAAAGCTTTGGATATATTGTTGCCTTCAAAAATGTATCTATTTTCCATGTATGCAACTAGAATTTGTGCACATACCATGTATATCCTTTCTCCTTTCGTCTCCGCCATTTTTTATTAAACCGGAAGTTTGTTCTCTTACGTCCGCGCAATATTTTCACTTTTATTTCAGATTACGCTTCGGATTCAACTTTAAATGCTTTCTAATAATCGTCAAGTGATTTCTATAAGTTAAGTTTTCGTAAAAAGACTCACACTGTCAGAGATTTTATCGATTCGAGCGGCCAGAAAAATTAGT